AGGCCATGCCAACTGCTGTTAGATTCTGTAAACACATCATCTCCATCAGTACTTAACAACCCTCCCATGAGGTAAGTGCTTTCCACTGTCATGCTCACTTTTGAGATGAAAAAACAGAGAATCTATGGAGTTGCCCAAGTCTTGCAAGTAATGGCAGAGCTTTGATCTGAGTCCAGACAGCCTGATTCCAGAACCGATAGCCGCATCACCTGTCACAGTATCTCAAGACTAATGTCCACGGCATCCCTTTAGAAAGAAACTGTTGTTACCCTCCTTTTCCAGATAAGAAAATTAAGGTGCATATCGTGTAAGAAACCTGTCTGAGGCTGGTTAGTGGTGGACCAGGGATCCCACTGCCAGTCTCTTCGATTTAGATCTCATGTTTTAACAAAACAATGCATGCAGAGGCAAAAGGTCTCCAAGCGTGAATATCTGTGTATATGTTATAGAAAACAGCTAATTTCCAAAAGCCATAGGACAGAACAAATGGTCCCTTATCAATTTAACTGAACATATTCTAAATTTTCTTTATTTAATTAAGACCTTCTTAACTGAATAGAGATAATTGGTCATAAAAGTGCCTTTTTGCCCGACATCTTAGCGAGGCTGCTGCAGTGGTAGCTGCTCTCCGAGCTTCGTGATGCGGCCCAAGGAACGACAAGAAGAAGGATGCCGGGAAGTCAGGCAAGGAGGACAAAGACCCAGTAAATAAATCTGGGGGCAAAGCCAAGAAGAAGAAGTGGTCCAAAGGCAAAGTTTGGGGCAAGCTCAGTAACCTGGTCTTGTTTGACAAAGCCACCTATGACAAGCTCTGTAAAGAAGTTCCCAACTATAAGCTGATCACCTCAGCTGCTGTCTCTGAGACCAAAGATTCCCGGTTCCCTGGCCAGGGCAGCCCTCCAGGAGCTGCTGAGTGAAGGGCTTGTCAAGCCGGTTTCAAAACCCAGAGTTCAAGTAACTTACACCAGCGACACCAAGGGTGGAGACGCTCCAGCAGCCGGTGAAGATGCATGAGCAGGTCCAACCAACTGTACATTTTGAACAAGAAAATTTTATTGGCTCAAAAAAAAATTGGTCATGAAAGTATTTTGGTCACCGATTCCTTGATATAAACGTAAGGATTGTGAGGGATGGAGCTCTATACCCACCCGCACACGCAACCAGGCTAAAGTCTTAACTGAAAGCGACCCTCTGGTGGGAGAAGTCTAACAAGTCTTTTTGACACGAGTTGATGTAGGTTCCAGAGTGAGACGCTGAGGCTTGGATCCCGATTCCCTTAATAGCTGTCATTTAATGCTGTAGTTTATATTGTTAATCTTAAAATGGGGATCTAACTGACTCCACTTTGCAGCACACTGGGAGGACTAAAGGGAGGCATACCTACTCGTGGCTATGTAGACAGACTTCAGAACATGCCATGTTTCCCTTTATGATAGAGACAAATGGATACATAAGTTTCAATCTAGGAAAAGTATTTAAAAGCTTTTGTCCCACTGGCCAAAGATCTTACTGATGGAAAGTCTACAAGTTTCCAAATGTGCATGGCCTCTATTTTCTTCTCGTCTGTGGCTAAGCTCCCTACCAAAAAGCCCACTCCCATGGGAAATCTCTGAACTTACATGAATAACACGCTATCTTTTTATTAGGATAACATGTCAAACCTTAAAGAACAGTTGTAAAGGGTGTAACAGTGCAAATTTCTGAAAGAATCACACGAAGGATGACCAGGTTGCAGAAATACTGGTGGTGGCCACAGACTAAAGGAGCACTGGTTCTTTTGTCCTCGGCTTCTATTCTTCTTGCAGTAGATTGCATTTCTGCCACCTTGTGGCCAAGTACTGCAATACAGAATTCGAAAGCAGAATCAAGCAGTTAGATGGATAGTAAAAATACTATTTTCTAATTGCTTTAAAAGTCTATCAAATACATATTAATTACAGATATTTCATTACGTTTCTGCTCTCAAGGTTTTTAAGAGAAAATTAAATAGAAATCCCTGACAGCCCTTGAACTTGCCACTAGTATGACTTGATTAGTATTTGTTTCCTGAGAAAAAAATGAGGTGGCTATTAAGAGTGAGCAGGATTCAGGGATTCCTGACGGTTCAGTTCCAATCCTAAATGATTTAGCAGTGTAGATTTTAAAATAATGCTTTGGATATGTATATAAATCTCACTATATCCCCAAGAAAGCCAAAATGGAAGGACTTGATTACCACCTCAGTCTGAACAAACTCAAACCTTGAGTTGTCCTAATGAAAGATTCCAGGGGAAGCAATTGAATGACGCCGGAGGCATCTGTATATCACAGGGTGCTAACAAGCTTTCCTCTAATCCCTGTGCAGCATTCTTCCTCACATAGCCCAGCTTCTGATGATTTACCCATCATCCAGTGAACAGATGTGGTGAGATGATTCAACCCTGATGCACACCTTCCTTGATTTTAAACCATAAAGTATCCCACTGTTCTATTTTGACAGCTGCCTTTTGGTCCATGTAGAGGTTATGCCTGAGCACAATGTCATGTTCTGGAATTCCCATTCTTAAGCCATCCAGTTTATTATAACCTACCCAGTTAAATGCCTTAGCTTAGGGAATAACACACAAGTTAACCCAAATTATTGTTTGATTGTAGGAAGACTTCAGGATCCCCTTCTTAATAGTTTAAATCTTTGGCTTAAATTTTAAGGATTATCTCCAGACAATTGTTTCATGGACTCATCAAGTCTCAATAGCTTTGAATTCCTTGAGAACCTCCCATTTTTCTTACAGTGATCTTTTTCACTCTGTTCTAGGAAAAGATGTTTAATGAACTGCTCACACATGATGCACCTAATCTTCTGCAAGATTTGGACAAATATTTAGGAGAAAAAGAATGGCTTGTTGGTAACTTTGTGAGTATGTTCTGCATTTTAAAGAATATAAGCAAATCTGACATTTTACTAAATGGGTAATTATTTGTTGAGAAAATATTACTCACAGGTTAGAAAGCAGAGATAAAAGTAAAATCTATTGGGAAAAACTTTATTTTATAAGGCTGTAACTAAAATTATTATCAAAGTGAAGTAAATGAACCTGTGTCAAGCTGGTGCAGAGTACATAAAAACATGCTAAGGAACTATTTCAAAAAAATTGAATATATATCTCAAGGCAGATTATCTCCTCTGGCTAAAAGCAATACACAAAATTCAGAAATGTCTGTGACTATATTATATCTCTACTGATGGATAAAGCAAAAATAATTATATTGATTTCTTGGTCATTGAGAACCAAAACTTTTGAGACAAAGGATAGAAATGTAAGATCAGTGAGATTAACTAAAAACCCTATTCTTGAATACAGATTACAGATGAACAGTAGAGATTCACGATGTCTTTTATCTTGTTGTGTGTTGTTGAGTGAATTCTGATAAACAGCAAACCTGTGTACATCAAAACAACACAGTGCCTGCTCCTGGGCCCTCTTCAAATTGTTGCTATGTTTGATCCTGTTGTCGCTGAGAGACGTCATCTTTTTCACTCTCTTCTTTGCTGTACACAATGTCTTTCTTCGGGGACTGGTCCCTCCTGATACTTGACCAAAGGGAGTTGTGAGATGAAGTCTTGCTATCCTCCTTCCTACAGAGCATTCGGATGGTAGTTTGTTTGGGTTCATCTTACTGGGGGCCCTTACAGCTCTTACAACAATCCATACATCATTCATATCAAGCATATTTGTCCATATGTTGCCATGATTATTTTCTAAACCTTTACTTTCTGTTGGAGCCCTTGAGACCATACATATGTGTTCTTCTGGCAGCCGTTGGTCTGTGGATTGTCCTTCCCGAACACCGTAATTCCCATGCACCAGCACTTCTGCAGACTCCCTTGTCCACTGACAGGCTTTCATGTGGCCAAGATTTAAAAGCCCATGGCTTGAGTCAGGCACACCTAACTCCTCAAAGCGATATATTTGCTTTGCAATACATTAGAGGTTTTGTTTTTTTGCAGCAAGTTTGTCCGATGCTGTTTCCAGGGATATTGATTATAGATTCAATAAAAAGGAAATTCTGTACTTCAATATTGTTTCCCTTTATCATGTTCTTTATTGGCCCAGTTGTGAGATTTTTTTCTTCTTCTTTACATTGAGGTGGAATCCTTACTAAAGGCTAGTCTTTGATTTTCATCAGTAAGTACTTCAAGTCCTTTTGACTTTCTGCAAGCACGGTTGTGTTGTCTGCCTATCACAGGTTGAGTCTTGTTCACAAGTCTTCCCTCAATCTGGCTGCTGCCTTCTTCATATATTCGTTTCTCTTATTTGCTCACCCAACAGGTTGATTAGTATGGTGAAAGGACACAACTCTAAAGCATACCTGCAAACCAACCATGCAGGAGTCCCCTGTTCTGTTCAAATGATAGCCTCTTGATCTGTTTATAGGCTCCTTGTGAATATAACTAAGGGTTCTGAATTTTCCTATCTTTAAAATGCAATACATATTTTTTTATGATGCCAACTGCCTTTGTAGTTATAATATCATTCTGGCATTCTCTTTTAGTCTTCTGACAATCAGCAATGATTTCCAAATTTCACATTCATTTCTGCATCAGGCTTATCTAATTATGTATTGCTACAACTTTTTAAAATTACCACCAGCAAAAAATTGCTATTAATGATATACTTTGATAATAACTACATTCTGTTGAGTTACCTTTCTTTGGATTGGGCATTAATATGATCTCTCCCTCTTGATTGGCTGGAAGTTGTTTTCCAAATTTACTGGCAGTGTGGGCTTCCAGAATTACATCGATTTGTAAGGTGAAGAAAGGCCATAATTTTGGGTGACTCGCCAGTCTCTCTCCTACCAGTAAACTTAATCTTGTCTAATCTCTTCAGTTTTATTCCACATCAGTCTTTCACTCTGCCTAGAACTTTCTAATGCAATCCCTTTCAGAGCAGGTGGTGGTGATGGCTGGGTACCATCCGGTTCTTCTGGTCTCAGGGTCATGGACACACAATGTCTCCACGGCCCAGTAGTCCATTGGGTAATTGCTTCCATGTATGTTTAGTTTTCATGACTCCTGTTTCCCTTCTCTCACTCACTGTCATTGGGTCAAGGCTGACTTACAGTGACCCCACTATGGGCTTCCATGACGGTTACTGCTTACAAGTGTAGAAAGCCGTCTTTCTTCTGCGGAGCTGCTGGTGTTTTGAATTGCTGACCAGGCAGATTGCAGTCCAACATGTAACCATTACACCACCAGCGTGCTCTTCCAGTTACACCTTTACAAGTTACTAAGACCCCCGGCTTTACTCACCAAAGTAGGATGTAGAGCACTGTCTTTGTTGGACTATGTGATACTTTAAAATGTTATTTTAATACAAGTATAAGTAATTTGTCTCTATCCTGAATCAATGGCCAACCCAGTCTTCCTGAAATTCCCTGCCATCCAGTTTTTGTTCTCCTTAGACACCAAATGAAAGCAGAGCTATCAATGCTCCTTGAAGAATGGATTTCATCACTGCCCCTTGTCATCTTCTTAGTGGACAGATGTGTCTCCCTTGGATTGTATTCTCCTTTCTGAAATAAAAGCAACATGAGAAGAGCTAGTATAACCTCTTAGTCTTCAATGAATGCCCAATACCTAAACCTGTAAATGGTACATAGTAGGTGCTCTAGAACTATTTGGTGAATTCTGAATCCTGTAACTAATAGATTCTTTTGGCTGCCATTTAGTAAGAAAATTCATAAAACAAAAGCAATGTTTATTAAAATACATATTCATCCAAAACCAAATAACACCATACAGATTAGTTGCTAGTCACAAACGGAAAACAAAATGACTCTATATTAGGATGGACCCATACTATCATCCCTAATCCACTGGTCAATCTTGGCATCTTGCCAATAATGGCCCGTCAGTTATATGATTACTAATGTGATGTAGTATAATGTAACCTGAAATGCTTCACTTGAAACTGTCAACCCATCAGAGAGAAATCCCTCTGTTCTCTATAAAGTAGGAAAGTGAACATGAAGTTACCACACAAACTCTGAAGGTAGGACATTTTGCAGAAGTATTGTGGGACTGAAGAAATAAAGGACATAGCCAAATAAAATACATGGTCTGGGACAGAATTTTCCTTGTAAAGTAAATGTTTGAATCAATTAGAAAAGGAAGGTTTGGGTATTAGATAAGATGGAAATGTATTGCCACACAAGGAGCAATTGGAAGAGGTCACAAAAAGAGAATATATGTAGAGTAATACCAGGGCTTCGGTTTGTGGGAAAATGGAATTGAAAAAAAAATGCAATTTTCCCACGAACTTCTTGAAGCCCATATATATGAAGCACATATATAGACAGATATGTATACACACAGGAAAATATCTTATACACTGATATATAAGTAGTAATCTCACTAGGTTATGAGTATCATGCTCTATGAATTTTTCCAATTTCTTGGTAATACACATTCGGCTTTTGTAATAAGACTATTTTGAATTAAACTTTCAGATAAAAACATTATGCTTAATTCTGGAATGCTGATACAGCATTATACCATATATTCAAACGAAATGACAGTGTTTTGTTTCCTTTAAATTAGGTAACCTGGGCAGATTTCTACTGGGATATTTGCAGTACTACGCTTCTGGTCTTTAAACCCGACTTGCTGGACACTCATCCCAGGCTAGTAACTTTACAAAAGAAAGTCCAAGCCATTCCAGCTATCGCTGACTGGATACGACGGAGGCCCCCAACCAAACTCTAGGTGATGCACGCTGCGTCCAAATGCCCGTGTTCTTCACAGGATCTTTTCTAGCAGTTATGATGGCTCCATTAGCTTCCTATATAACCCAAACCAAAAACTCACCTCCTCCCCCACTGTTCCCAAGACATTTTTTTTCAACTTTGCCCTCTCTGCTTTTAAGAAACCAAAACCAAAAGGCATTTTGCTTAAAGCATTTTCCCTCCAAATTGCATCACATCGGCTTGATCTGCAGCAGCCTGGTTCAGATCTCAGTGAGGCCAGTAATATTAGCTGCAATTGCATAAAGCTCTTCAGTGCACAAACCACTACACGATTATCTGACCACATCACGACCAGTGACTAGTTACAGCCCCCATCAGTGGTCACCGCCTAACTGTTCCTCTCGCACAGGCAGGAAAGCAGATAGCTGCCTCAGTTTCCCACCAACAAACCCACTTTTCTGCAAAAATGGAGAAGTGGAAAGAGGGAAGGCCCAACACAGAAGAATATGCCACAAACGAAAAGTGATCGTGCTGGGGTGAAATGGAAATTGCACACAGGTGGAGTTCAGAAGACACCGCCTCATTTGCACGCAGAGGGACACGGGGGAAATGAACTTATGGGCATAAAGGAGGGAAACGGTTGTGACCAAAACGAAGAAACCCCAGAGGATTAACACTTGCAAAAACATCACATTAAAGGACTAAAGATAATTCATGACACTGAAAGAGCAAAGGACAAATTGCTGGAAGCGATCCAAATTTAGTGTATAAAAATTCACTAAAGCATACAAGGAAGACAGGCAAAGGGCACGATTGTTAACAAGATTTTAAAAACAAAACATAATCAACAATTAACTTGTGGATGTTCCTGTATTTTAAATTACAGTGTACTATATGAGTAATCAGAGACTCTAGGACTGGGTAGACCTGCGCCCATGGGTTCCTGAGACATAACTCTGGATAGGAGCGAAAGCCTGGGCTTTCTCCCTTGGAGCAGCTAGTAGCATTGAAAGCCGACCTTGTGCTTCAGCAGCCCAACCGGTAACCACTGTGTCTCCCGAGTTGTAATCAACTCCACAGCCGTATTAGAAAGCCCTTGTGGCACTGTGGAATGAGCATTGGGCTGCTAACTGCAAGGTTTGTGGTTCAAACTCACTGATTACTCTGCAGTAAAGATGAGACTAACTTCTCCCTTAAGGTTTATAGTCCTGGAACCACTGGGTCAAAATCGACTAGATTACAGGAGGTTTGGCTTTTTACTTATTAGCTTTGCTTATTATCACTTCGGCATTTACAACCAATAATGATAAAGTTCCTAATGCTTTGGCAAAAAACAAATACAGCTTTAAAAGGTTACGGGATGATCATGAACTGTCCCATGGTTAAGAGTACAGCTATTTGTAGGCTCCCATATTACCGTAGAAAGTGAGAGCTCTGGATAGGCGGTTTAAATAGAAACCTTCCAAATAACTATATATTCACACCCTTCCTTCTCTATTTTAGAACACGATTTTATAGTTTTTGGTTAAAAAAGAACATAATCTTTCAACTCCATTTCTACAAAATATTTTTGAAGGCCCCTCATATAATCATGATCAGAGCATCTCATTTTAACAAGTATTGATTATGGATTATCAAAGGTCACTATGTCATTGTGGAAAGGCTCATCAGTGAACTACATGGCCTTCTTGAAAAGCAGTGAAGAGAAAATAAAATAACAAATGAAGGCGGTGGGTGTGGTGGGAGAGGAACATAAAGGGAAAAAAGGCAAAACCCACACCCAAAGCCCAGCTGGGTACAATCTTAAGGTGCTTCTTTGCCCCAGTGTTTCCTAAAATGTTATTTTATAAGTTACTAAGAGGTATACATAAAAACCAGTGTTTCCAAAATGCCTTTCTTGGTTGGATTTACTCTCCTTTCCAGAAGTGGTTGTTAATAAATATAGAGTTATAAGTGGATTCCACGACAAAGCATTTTATTGTCACTCAAGGGGGTATGATGATAAGACAATGATCTTCAACTGCTGAAAAAATTCAATGGTTATACTGGATTGTTTTTCTCCCATATGATACATGACCATTTCCCACTATAAATAATTATACTGGCAAACTATAATGAGAATACTGGATGTTACAAATACAAGGCTTACCCAAAATTAGAAAAATGAGGCCATTTACACATATAGTAATTACAGTGTAAACGTTAACAGTTCAGTAAGGAAATATTTCAACGACAGCATCAACATAACTTCTTTAATATTTTTGCACTGAAATAAAACCATGATCCATCCTATTTTGTATCTAAATTGAATGTCTCTCTTGCTTAGACACAAATACACAGAACAAGAACTGAAGCAGCCATTAAATTATATATCACATTATAGTCAGGGAAAAAAACCCCGCATATATTCTTGAGTTAAAATCTAATTCTTTAACTTTTATAGACTGGTTAAATGCCTTTAGGTCACACAAATAGAAACCAAATCTACTGCTATCTCTCCCCATTATGCAGTAACTCTAACTGCTAGAATCGACAGATCACTTAGGGTACGTACCTACTGGCATAAAGCTCCAAGTCAGGGTTAACAGAAAACATGTAAGATGTCCTTTACTCCTCTGTGGATTGCACAAAAGGGTTGCTTCAGTTGGTCCAAATATTCCTCTGAAAATGAGGGCTTTATATGCCCATTTCGTTGACATCTGCTCAATGAACAAACTAATGCAATACAGCCTAAGTAATAAATCAGTATTTTTTTTTGAGAAAGACAATTCTGAGCATATAATATGATCTTCATTTGTGCTCAATTACTTTTTAAAAATGTGATGGGAGAGAGGGCTAGCAATTATTAAGAGTGGGGGGAGGGAAAAAACAAAGCAAAAACTTATGATCACAAAATTTTTATTAAGCCCAAGACATAATTAGAGCACTATAGGTAGAATCCAACTACATATCATTAGAGATAAAAATATGGACTTTTACAACAACAAAGTAAAATAGCCTATCATTGAAGATACATTCAAACAGAAAAGCGAAGAGAAACCCATTATGAAATTTAAAAAGTACTATTCCCAACACGTTGACTGAGTGATCTGGGTGCTGTGATACAGGAGGAGGTAGAGTAACATCTGCAGAGTCCTTCCAGCCCTATTGCACTAAAACACAGTCCATACACACCCACTTCTCACTACCAACAAGACCAGGTTCCAAAGACTAGCTGACTAGGAGAAAACTAGTTTATTGTGAAAACGGGAGATGACTACATCATTAAATAACTGCCAAATCACATCATTACATAAAACGGCCAGCTCACTGGGAATCATGGCCTGGCTAAATTGACACTTTACTGTATCTATCACACACAGTAATGTTACTCTTACCTAGCACCTCGGCATTTGTTACTGCCACATATGTCGTTAATGCACAAAATAGTCCAACTTCTTACTATTGCTTGAAGCACAAGATGTCAGAGGAGACCCTCAAACAGCGAGGAACTGGCGTGTTCACTCATCTTTAAGACTGAGTAAGCCTGTTGAATGTGTGAGCTCTCAGAATCTAAAATATCTCAAGAATCACTTTAAGACTTTCTTTTGCTTTCTAATGCCAGAGGGCTATATTAACTAGCATCTTAGCAACAAAGAATGCCTTGAAAGGTATGATCTCCAATAATTAACAAATCTTTGATTTATAAATAGTTTATTTATAATGATATTTACATAATAAAAACAAAACATGAAACTCACAAGTTATACAAAGAAGCTGATATAATAAAAACAGCAATAAGACTGACGGGCAAAAATGTAAAGAAAGACTTAATAAGGAGTTAAGTATCAGACAACTTTACTTCTAAATTTCACTGTGTCACCCACACTGAATTGGAATTGAACAATGGCTCTCTCTTTAAGAGGTTCTATGCTGGAAATTGGTGAATTTTATTTCGATAAGGGTTTAAAGTTAATGACCTATTTCCATGCAGTACCTAATGCTGCTTCAATATGGAGCCTCATTCAGTCTGCTTTGAAACGAAATAGCTTTAGTTTATCTGCTCTGCCAAGCTAGAAAGTGTCACCAACATCTTGCTGGTGCATGGCGATGTGGCAGGGATAAACTGTTATTTAGAGAGACCTGGCACAGAAGTGACTGGGCAATAGCTTTAAGAGAAGCAAAAGCCAGGGAAGGGAAATTAATGAAAACATGCACCAGGATAGAATAGGCAGACTAATGCACATAAGTGCAGTTGGAAAAGGAAGAGAAGGAATTAATCCAGGGAGCAAGAGAGGGGGCTCTTTAGTTACTACTCACTGGAAAACAACTTAGTGCCTAGCCAAGCAAATTTGTTGTCAGAGAAGTACTTGAGAGGACCTGGGGTGTTGGTATTTGGACTGCCACCTTTAAATTCAGGGTGAGTTCTTGTTGACAGTGGTGAACATCTGCTTCAAATAGCAATCAAACTTAAAACTACAGAATCTACATCGCCGCAATATTTAAACTAACAATCAAAAAGAACCTCAAGGGAGACGAGCAAAATCAAGATGTAAGCATTGTCAAATAAGGCACATGTAAAAATCTACACACATTATCCAGTGAAAGACAATATATATATATTTGGAGGTAGAAATAATTACAAAAATACTGACATTTCTAAAGCATTAGCATATTTGTTACAAACAATCACCAACTAATCCCCATTCAGAAAACTGCTTTGTAAAATGATTATTCAACATCTTAAGGACTATATATTCCTGGCTTTTGGAAATTTCATGTGTGAGCATCTGAAGAATTCAGTTAGTGGCAAAAAAGTTGTCCATACTATGAGAAATGCAATATGGAAATTATAAAAAGTTATATATGTTCATAAACCCCATGGTCATCAGAATGAAAATGTCCTTGAGTGCACCAAGTTGATATTTCCTTATCGAGGAGGAATTCACAATTTTACAGGCCCATTGAAGTTTTTAATAATGTGGCTATATCTGCTGGCATACTTCCTTCATCACCTGCAGGAAAAAAAGCAGCATTACAAGTTAAATAAAGAGATCTTATTTTGTGAAATCTATTTTCTCCATCCAGAGTCCTCTATCTCTGGTGAGTTCCCATTTCTCTTCCCAGGTCTGAGATGCTTCGGTCTCACTTGCTCTTAAAAACCTTTGCCAATGCCTACAGACATTAGGGTTACTGCCTCAGTGGTCTTATTAATACTGCCAACTTTTACAATCTATCATCGACTTGATGGCAATAAGTTTAGAGTCTGGAGTTGGGGGCACAATAATTAGTGCTATGGTGTTAACCAAAAGTTTGGCAGGTTCAAGCCTATTTAGCAGCTCTGTGGGAGAAAAGGCATGGTGATCTGCTTCCACAATGATGAACGCCTAGAACCCATGGGGCAGGTCCAGTCTGTTACATGGGTTTGCTCTCAGTTGAAAGCAACTCCACAATATCTAGCAAGAACAACCAGTATTTTGAAGCTAATTGCCTGGTACCCTACATGAAATAAACTGTTATTTTAACAGACACTTTAAGGGGAAATAGAGTAAATTAGTTAATCTTAACATGTTTATATGCCTAACCATTTACATGTATTATGATTAAAAATGATTGATTGAACACACATGAACACTGCTGCTCTTGTATAAGGAAGGTAAATGCAAGGGGGTAAAAAAGAAAGAAGGGTTGCATATGAGACAGCTGAAAAAATACTAAGAGAAAAACAATAGATAAATAGTTCTCAACAAATTTGGAAGATAAAATGCAGATTTAAGAATGAAGATGAATAGAAAAAGAAAACTTAATTACATACAGATGGTTAAAACAAAACAATTAGTACTCCAAACCCTCCCTGCTCTGGAATTCATAGAGATCCCAATGGTTCTGAAAGGTGGAGAATAGGTAGAGTTAAAAACAGGCTGAAGGCAGCCCTTCTGGCCAGCCATTCATCCAGAATTTGCATCAGAGAAACCCCAGTCTTGGAACTAGCAGAGTGAAGATATAATGAAAACAGGAGCCGTAACTGTCACCTCCAGCCCCTCAGCCCCACCCCACCCTCACCCCCACTCAGTTCTGCGAATTGGGTCAGACAGCTTGTACCTCCTCTCACCCCACTCCAACATGAGTTTAGAAATTTTCTCTCTGGGGAGATAAATGAGCCTATGAGAAAAGATTTACAGTTTAAACGTCTAGATGCTGGACAGACAAGACAGCTAAGTACCTAATTAAAGAATGATTATGTTTCTATGTAGAAACTGTGTTAGGACGAAAGCGCAGTTCACAGACTGAGATGTTTGCCAGCACTCCCAAAAGGGAATTTTACGTAGGTATTTCATTGCTCACTTCCATTTTAAAAGCTTTCCTAACAAAATAATCAGGTAAAAATGTTGGCTAAGTGAAATCCGGTTATGTGTTGTTGCGGGTTAACCTTAAATTGGCAAATGCCCACATCTACACAAAAATCGTGTTAATTACTGTTAATTAATTGCTTCTTTTTCAGTCAAATTTTCCTCCCCAAGCTCACACTCAATGCGCTGCCATCAAGGTGATGCTGGCTCACAGCGTCCCTCGGGGGACTGCCTATTCTTCGTCTTCATTCTTAAATCTGTGGGTTTCCAAGACTAACTCTCAGCTAAGTACCAAGACACAGAGAAGACAATACTGTATATGTTTCTCAAATAAAAATAAACCTTTATGGATATTTACAACATTAGAAAAATCACATTGCTTCCAATTAAACATTAAAAAACAACAAAACAAGATGTAGAACAGTGCACGCTTACTCATATAAAAAGGGAAAGAAAATCTATGCTGATTTACTTTAATATGCATAACTGGTCATACATGCTACAAAAATTATACCAATTACTTAATGGGGAAACTAGATTACAGAATATAAAGTTTGCCTTTGCTATATATCTTTTTAGTGCTAAGTGAATTTTCAAAGGTATAGACAAATAAAAATTGTTAATTTATAAAACCATTAAAATTATTTTCAAAAGGGTAGATGGAGTGGGAATGAAAGTTTTGTTTATAGGGCCCAACTATTTCAATCTGAAGATTTTAAATTATTAACTGTTAACCAAATGTATTTTATAAAACTCTAAGAGCCCTGGTTGCATAGTGGTTAGATGTTGGTCTGTGAGCTGCAAGGTCAGCAACTCAAAACCACAAGCAGCTCCTTAGGAGAAAGACAGGGCTACTCTACTGGGTCCTATAGGATCACAGTGAGTCGGAATCAACTCGATTACAGTGAGCTTGGTTTTAGAATATAATACATATTTTTTAATCAAAATGAAATTAGTGTAAATGCTGGTACAGATAGGAACTGGAAATATAGGGAATTCAGGGCAGATGAGCCCTACAGGACCAGTGGTGTGAGTGGCGAAACAGGGAGGGTAGAGGGAGAGTGGGTTGGAAAGAGGGAACCGATTACAAGGAACCATATGTGCCCTCCTCTCTGGGGGTCGGACAACAGAAAAGTGGGTGAAGGGAGACGTCAAACAAGGCAAGATATGACAAAATAACAACTTATAAATTATCAAGGGCTCATGGGGGAGGGGGGAGTGTGGAGGGAGGGGAAAAATGAGGACCTAATGCCGGGGGCTTAAGTGGAGAGGAAATGTTTTGAGAATGATGAGGACAATGAGTGTACAAATAAATGTGCTTTACACAATTGATATATGTATGGATTGTGATAAGAGTTATATGAGCCCCTAATAAAATGATTTTTTTTAAATTAAGCACTTAAAAAATTAAATTAAAATAAAAATTAAATTTAAAAAATTAAGCATTTTTTTAAATGACAGCACTGTTACTAAGTTAATATTATGTCATAAATATTTTAAATGGGTTTTATAAAAATTATTTATGTGGTTACTATAAATCATAAAATATGGATCCAAACTTAAATTTTGCTTCTAGGATGTTTTGGTATCTGAAACAAGGTAGTAAAAGACAATGGAGAATTTTAAATCAAAATGTTTATAACAATCCTGGCAAATGAACCTTTACCATGTTACTAAACTCACTAGAATCAAGCCAGTTCAAACAGTCCAGGGTAAAGCTGCCCCGGTGGGTAGCACATTTGAAAGGAGCACGCTTATCTTATCACATGTAAGCTAGGATAAGTAATAAACCGTCATTATTACCCATTTACCACAACTCATTTGTCTTTTCATGTGGTGCTCCTTAGGTTTTGAAAATTCTGCTTATGAACAGCTTACCTTCATCTACTGTGGTCATATCTTGTTCTAGCTTTAATTTTTGTTGGTTAATTTTCAACATCGATTCTTCAATCGTTCCTTGGCTTATTAATTTTATAACTAGTACTTCCCTAAAAGAGAGAAAAAAAGGTTTAACAATTGCTTAAAATAAAGGTATCTGGATGCATGTAAATAATATGATTTACATATGAAGAGTTCAATAGAATGATTTGAGAATTGCACAAATACAAGCGGGCTTCAAAAATTTCATGGAAAAATTTACTGCCTTTTAATTCCATTTTTCCATGAAATCTTTGAAGCCCTATCGTTTGTCCTAAAAAAAAATCAAATTCTCCTCTTCATCAATTTCCTGAGCACTATACTTGTGAATGCCTCTTTTTATGAATCCAAGATAAGAAAGATTTGTGCTTCAGTTTTACTAGTAGAACTACTAGTAGAATTTTCATCTGGAGCAACAGAGGAAAAAGGAGGTAGGAACAGAATGAAATGGAAGGTATGACTGACTCCCTGAACTCCTTTGCCAGGAGACTGAAAAACTGGTGTGTTCAGATCAAATATTTTGTAGAAGAATCCTGCTGCAAAGGGCGAGAACACAGAAATAAGTTTCCAATGCTCAAGGAATCCAGCATTTCTGGAATCGGAGGCTGAGCCCCACAGAAACGACTGCCCTGACAAAGTCTCTTAAACCTAAACCCTTAACCAAAAATCCAATCCAAACCCCCATGAACGTCTTCTTTAAAACCAAAATTGTTACTTCAAAGTCAAGAATGCTTGCCTTCAGCACATGCCCTTTTAAGAACTAGGGGACTAAGATAAGTCATTGTGGCATCGTGAATTGTAGGTTAAGATGCTAAACACAAAGTCAGATGTTTGAAACCACTAGCAGCCGCTCTGCAGAAAGATGAGGCTTTCTGCTCCTGTAAGGATTTATAGTCTTGGAAACCCTGAGGTTTACTCTGTCCTGTAGGGTCACGATGAGCTGGAGTCAAATCGATGACAATGAGTTTGGATGTTCAGAGTCATAGGGGATCAAACTGAGAGTGGTAATTTGAAATATTAGCTAGGAAACATAGGGAGGGGATAGTGGGCTTATGTTAATGGAGGAGGAACAGTTTGGAAAAGAGTAAGAATGGTTACACATTTGAATGCAATCAACGTCACCAATAAATTGTTGAATTCGTCAATGTTTTGCTGTGTCATACTTTCAACAACAAAGTAAAATACATTTTAAAATACAACAGAATGGGTGCGTATGCAAATGTGGTGAAGAAAGTGGATGGTGCCCTAGCATTTGGGGTCCCAGCCATCTAGCAGGGAAGCAAATAAGCCCACATGGAAGAAGCATACCAACTTGTGTGATCATAAGGTGTCGACGGGCTCAGGTATCAAAAAAAATCCAAAACAAACAATTATATCTTGGATATCTCCCTGCAGAAGGATTGCAAGGAATGGACAATTCAACTAGGTGCAGTTTAGCACTAATGAAAAACACATTATTCCTCTAGTTCCTGAATGCTTCCTACCCCTCCTTCCCCATGACTCAGTTCTACCTTACAAATGTGGCTAGATGGAGTACACACATTGGGATAGATAAGAGCTATCACATGGAATTCAGGACAGACACAAACCTCAGTGGGAGAAGTGACATCATGAGGGTAGGGAGATGGAGGGGTGTGTGTGCAGAACCCAACACAAGGTTGAACATATATCCCACCTCCCAGGGTAATGATTAACAGAAACGTGGGTGGAGGGAGACAACGGGCAGTGTAAAACACGAAATAACAACAATTATAAGTGATCAAGGATTCATGAGGGTCGGAGGTGGAGAACAAGGGGAAAAAAGAAGAACTGATACTAAGGGCTCAAATAGAAAGAAAATGTTTTGGAAATATTGATGGCGACATATGTACAAGTGTGTTTAATATAACGGAATGATGGATTGTCATAAGATTTCTAAGAGCCCACCAATAAAGGAATTAAAAAAACAAAACAAATAAATACAATAGAGAGAGTAAGAACATTAGCAAGTCTGCCTGGTCCTTAAAAGCAAGTCTTTCTGGTTACTCGTCTTTTCCAAATGGGTAGACCATTGATAACACTTCAGTATTTGGAGTGTGCTTTAGAACCACTGGCCAGAAGCGATGGGAAGTTATCTTAATTACTAAAAAATGAACAGGTGACAGAGTGGAGCTCATGTTCTACACTGCTAGTGTATAACATCACTGGCCAGGCTTTGCTGAAAGCATAAAATCAAAGACTGGTTATCAACAGACCCCATGGCATTTGAATAAAAATAAATGTCAACTCAAGATACTTACTTAGTCTGGCCTACTCTATGGCATCTATCTTCCGCTTGCTTGTCATTGTAAGGATTACAATCGATATCATGAAGTATAACAACATTTGCTGAAGTCAGATTTATTCCTAGTCCACCAGCTTTTGTTGATAGTAGAAATACAAAGATATCCATATCGGTGTTAAACTCATCAATTAGATGAATCCTGCAAGAGTAATAGATATTAAATCTCAGTTAAAAGTGTATATCAGAGCTACCTAAACATTTTTCAGAAAATGAAAAATTTTAATTATAGCAACATGTTCTTAATTAAAAAAATTTTTTTTTTTAAATTTTGGCTGTAAATAGCATATTAAATTTCATTCAATCAATCTGGAAGCCAAAATTTGATGAAGAATTTGCTGTTAGGATAATCATGATAGTGCTAAGCTTTATCCAGTGCTGATGCAGCAGAATAAAATTATAGCCACTGCTGTAAGCAACTGTCCCATAACCTGAATAACACGGGCTTGCACTGCTTAGGCCCACTTAATTCTGGATTACCTCCCCCTGTTGATGGTGTGGTGAGCTTGTCTCCAGTTAAAACACCATGTGATAGAGCCAAACTGCTTGGGTGGAGATTATTAGCAGTACATGGTGCTTCACA